AAGTCAACCTAGACCTAAAGCAATGTTTATATTCTTGACTTATTTCTTTTTTGTACATCTAATGCTATTACATTGTTGGTTCTTGTAAGTATCTTTGTATTTTCTTCCTCTTTCTATCACTATTCTCTATTTCTCTGTACAATATTTCGCTTGATGTATTATTTTTAGTTCTGGTCTTTCTGATTATTTACTGTGAATTCTTTTTGTCAATAGCCATTATGATATGTCTCTACTTTCTTCCTATTCTTCATGATTTGATGTTACTATTTTATTTTTCTGCAAACCTGTGTTAATTTTCTTTTTTATGGCAAATGAATTTCTCGATAAAATAAAATACATACTTATAAACATACTTGTAGTTTGTCTTTTCACTTGCTTTCCTGATGAATTTGTGTATGCATATTATTTATAAGACATATGTCTATTCGGCAAATGGGATAGCGTTCCTAATGAATAGAGCGACTCTCCCCCCTTTACGCTTTTGTATTCTGTCGGCACCTACTAACGTAAAATCTTCGAAATCAAGTTCCATACTATCCATAGACTGCGTCAGCTGAGTTTCTGTGACTGCGATTATGTCTGGCATTGTAGAGTCAATCTGTACACCTAGTTCCGATCGCTTATTGAGCAAGCTTTGAGCATCAGTGTAACGGATCCGGAGCCTATCTAGATGGCTTCGTGCCTCACCCAGAGTGGTTTCGGCATCATTCTCTTTCGAAGCCTCACAACCCAAATATTTAAAACCTTTTAGGCCCTTTTCGCCAGCGTCTAACCTAAGTTGTAGTTCTTTTTCGGCTTCCTGTCTTTTCACACGGTCTACCAGCGGCAAGTCCTTACGGACAAAATCTTCTGAACCCTTTACTTTGTAGTGACCTACTTTTGTCAACAGAACGCGATTGGTTCAATGTAAACAGTTATTATTATAACCAATTGTACCAGTGACTGTTTTACTGTGCTCGTTTGTTTAACTGTGCTAATAACAGCCATTTTGGTCTTTCATTGTACTCCATTACTTCTGCGAGGTTTGTGACTACGCATGTACCTTTCCTTGCCGATCGCATTTGTACTCCTTTGGCACGATCTCGTAATTCTTTCGATACCACGAGATTGCCAGCAAATATATTTCAACTACTACTATTATCTGCCTTCTGATATTGGTCTAGGAGGATCTTTTTGGTTAATTGGAACGTAGTCTTGTTGCGGTGTTCATAGTCAAGCTCAACTCGACACCACGCTACAAGTTTATGTCCATTCTGTAAAATTAGGTCGCGTTCATTCGGAGATTCGAATACTACTTTAGGCAGTCTGGATTGATTAGGCTTCAAGTTCACTTGACTACATAGTCTGTGATCAGACTTCAAATTTTCGATTACATCTATGGGTGCAGGATTCCCTTTTATTTCGTTATGTCGTTTCTTGCTTACAACCCGTACTCTCCCATCTTTACGCTTTTGTATTCTGTCGGCACCTACTAACGTAACATCTTCGAAATCAAGTTCCATACTATCCATAGACTGCGTCAGCCGAGTTTCTGTGACTGCGATTATGTCTGGCATTGTAGAGTCAATCTGTACACCTAGTTCCGATCGCTTATTGAGCAAGCTTTGAGCATCAGTGTAACGGATCCGGAGCCTATCTAGATGGCTTCGTGCCTCACCCAGAGTGGTTTCGGCATCATTCTCTGTCGAAGCCTCACAACTCGTTGTACCAGCCTTTGCACTCATCGCACTGCATGCCGTTTTCAACGGGGTATCGACAGCCCGGACGTTGGCAATGGCTTCTGTTGCACTGTCCAGTCATCAAACGGAGGTCTTTTTTTTTAAAAAGGTACTGGATACAATAGTACTGAGAGATAAAAATGATCTATGACCAGAAAAGTGGATAGGCATCAGCCACTCCTTAGACGAGCTAATCACAATATTTAAGTCTGCCTGAAGTGCGCATGCATCTGCGACTCCCTTCTATATGCAGCCGGTGTGAGTTCGGTGCACACATTTTGATGCCACTTATTGCAGTTGTCCCATTGCACTCCATCATCGACAGGGAAGTGGCATGCAGGTCTGCCACAACGATGTTTGACCTGCACCATAAATTTGTTTCGTGATCTCACAGGAAGAACAACAGCGAGAACTGATCTCTAGAAAAAGTGTCTTTTTTTAAGACTTGACAGGTGATGGACACTGAACACAAACAAAAACAGAGGTTTGCATATTACTGTACGTAACAACAATAAAACACCCGACTTCAGTAGTTACGAAAGGACCTTAACACCTTTGGATACAAACAACATACAAAGATATACACAACGAGGAAAACAATAGCACTAACCTATTTTCTTGCTTTAACTGAAATAAATTCAGTCAAAGCAACAACAGTAGTCTCGATGTCCGATTAAGCGGTCAATACTATAAAATATACTCAGAGGAAAAATACCACTGCCCTTTTTAAACAGTGTGCAACGTTCAAAAAGTTAGCAGCCCATTCCGAAAAATTAGTCCCGCGTACACTGATGATAGATCGTCGTTTCGATAGCACAAAGACAACATATGTCTCAAAACATTTGTTTGTCATTGGAAATCCAGTTGTGAATGAATACGTGTATTTATATATAAGTTAATGTGTGAGCGTAACTTGGTCGCTGACTGACTTTTAGCATGTATGTTCCAGATGAATCAGTGAGTACACACAAAATCAGAATCAAGGATCCGTAGCTATAGCTACGGATACTAGTCGAGTCATGTATCATCTGATTTTGCAACGTCAAGTTGGGACGTTGTATATCACAACTGATAATGGTACGGACGGATTCATTCGTTATTTCTCATTAGATCTTGATTTTCAGGATTTCTTGCTGAACACCCTGTCATTGTTTTTCTAAACTGTATTCGCACTATCGTTACTACTTTTATTATTGTGCCCCCTTTGTTGTTCATCTTAGTTTCAACTCGTGTTGACTTCACCCGATTGTTTGATATCGGATTGTGATGCTTCTCAATGAATTCATTGTACAAGTGTGTGGATGCTGTTTGTGAAATCCGTAATTTCCTACCACAGAGCACATCGAGTTGTTTGCAGTGTACGGAGTAATTTGCTTTGGTAATTAACTAGTACTAACCACATTCGATGTTGATTTACTGTGCCGGTAAGAACCTCTTTGTTTATGCGCTGGTTCTTTTTGATTTCACTAATTTAATTGGAACACTTGAAACTTTAGCTGAATATGTGAAAACCCAATACCTTGTTTATTGAAATTTGTGCCATCCATACCTAATTTGTAAGTCTTTTGAACGATCTCTTTTTAAGGGTGACATCCGGCAAGTTAAGTGAGAAGGCTACAGGAATAGGTGAATTGGTGTCCAAGATTACTAAGCAATAGGAATAGCTGGGTCGTGATAAGAGAGAATTATAACATTTCCATAGTGTTCAATTTAATCAAGATGATATAGTCGATATTATGATATTCCGTAGGTTGAAGATCTTGATGTGATGATATTGCAGTAACGGTCACAATGTTGAGCTAAGCAAATATTTATTGTACTAGATTTATTTAATCTTCATGTCTAATGTAAAAGTTGAGAGCAATCGGTAAATGTTTGGGTATACAGTTAACATGTAAAATGAATAACTAGATAGAGAATTTTTATTCTCACCAATACTTACGCATATTGAAGCCCTGAATTTCAGCGAAGAAGCAACCGTTTCATTTTTTATCTCTATTATTTTTTGTCTGTTGCACCAGGTGATTTTTGTTTTGATTTGTGCGATCCATTTATCATACTGTTCTATTGTGCAGCGTGGATTATTTTTTAAATTTATAATATGATTGAATCGTAATAATATTTGACGATTGTAGCTTTTATTTTTGAGAAAACTTTATTTTGTTATCATTACTATTTGACTGTTTGTTTATGCCAGCCATTTGAGTCTGAATTGGAGGCTATGAATAATGGTGACTTGACTTCAATCGGAAATGTAGAATTACAATTAGCTGCTTGCAATCGAATTGTTTCTCTGTTATGTAATTGTCTTTCAACAGATCATTTTCAACTAGTACAATTAAATAATTTCAATTTATTTATTTAAACACATAAATATTGGTACAAAGGGGCACCAAATGTAGATGCGCCACACTTTTGTGTGTAGGCTGGGATACTGCCCGGGTGCCCAGACCGAAGCAGCTGGTTTTCTTAATGGGCCACACCCCAAGCCTTCGACCTAAAGGTCTAACCCACAAGGCAGTGGAGCACCTAGTCAAGGTCTGAATCAAGAGGGCAGATGTTTGTCTATCCATAGTTTGCGTACACTATTCGGTTTTGCATTTACAACTTCCTAGCCTCCCCTAATTATGTGACTCACGTTGCAGACTAAGAAGCGTGTGTATCTGTATCTGAATCGGACGTCCTTAGAACGTGAAGATGAGGTAGTACAATAATCCTCGATTTAAAATAATACGACGAGTGGTTGGGATTAGAGATGCATCAGAGATCAGAAACACGTGGAATGAATTATGAAGCAATGTGTTTATTCCTGATGAGAAGTGATAGTCATTAGTTTAATGTCTTTAATTTTGGCTCCTAAAACTAGTGTTTAATGCAAGAGAGCTCTACTGCCAGAAGTTGTTATGTATTCAGAGTCATTCGCTGTTCACCCTTACGAAATTCTTCATGTCACCTGAGTATGGGATGCATCGTATTGGTGACAAATTTATGTTTAATCGTTATGTATACATTTGTCATTTTATTCATAAAATATTTTGATTCATTGAGTTTATAAATCATTTCTGACTATTTCATTTTTAGTTATTAAAATATGGACTGGTTAATCCAAGGAATGTTCTCAATCGCACACTGAGACATTCTAGTTTTTCTGAATCCGATGAACCAACGAAGTGTGAATTACAAGAGGCTTTATTGAATGCAGTTGGTCAACTGGATCGTTTAAGAAAACACCGTATAAATCAAAAAACACGTATTGATAAATTACAAGAACGATTAGATCATATGGGTACTGAACTGGATTCCAGTGTAGATACTATTCGTCATCATCAAAGAAATTATGAAGCACAAAAACGTAGAACTACTATGGAGATTACTCATTTACGTAATCAATTAGCTAAAGCAACTGCTTTATTAGAACAGTTGAAATTATTCTTCAGTAAAACAAATGTGAACACTAGTTCTTTGGACCACAATATGCGAGGTTTGTGCTTTATAAGATTTAAATGTGTCGTAATTTGTTTGTGTCTAGTGACTGATTTGATCTCACGCCTATCTGTCTCTTGCTTTTCAATTGTTAGTTTATTGTGTTAATCTCTTATCGTTAGTTTAATGATATGAAACGTTTATTATAGTGTTTCCTTACCGACAGATAAGTAATCTAAGTTGTGTCGTCTTACTCATAAGAGAGCTTGTATTCTTCTGTGTGTTTTTGTAATAATTTTGTCAAGTTTATTCTTTTACACTAATGATTCCTCCGTCACGCGTTTTATTAACTCTTTTTATTTGAGCATTTTGAAATTATTGCTTACTGGAACTGTCCCAGTGCGTTGATGTGACACACTTAGGGGTTAAAGCAAGGAATAAAAGAAACTGAATAACTATATGTTACTCCATGTATTGGGTTTTAAGTCATGCACTATAGACACTCACGAAATTGTGTTTCGATATACAGTTGCAGATGTATTTAAATACAACCATATGTAATTTCTGAAAAACCAATTATTATGTAAATTCGACGAGATGATAATATTTTGTATTTCAAACAATGCGTTGTAGTACTCAATAAATGATCTATCAACAGTTTGTATTTGCTAATGCGATCACCTCTTTTGATCTTAATTATTTGGACAAATATATTGGCTGATTAAGCTGAGAATTCGCTTGGAAGTTCAGACGTATGGTACGAAATAAAGCAATTATTATCATCTTTATGAATGATGTATTTCTCCCTTAGATGTAATTTCAAAACTATGCTTCATCTCTCCTAGGTTTTCATATTATGCAACTAGAGCGTTGACACCATAGTTGATTAAGTACTCGACTATTTGCTTTATATTTCCATAGGACAGTCTGAAATACTGATGAACTAAGTTTAATCGATCCTGTAGGTATCTTATCAGTCACAAATTATTAAATATGCTAAAATCCTTTCAATATCAAATGATGAATAAGCTACCTCCTGGTAGACAAAGAATTTAATCATTTTAATCACTCCATACTACCGTATGTTTGATAAATAGTGTTTTCCGTTTTATTGCTCTGATATCATTATATCATTCTGTTTGTTGGTGATTATGATATAATCAGAAGGAGTTTTGTGGAGATTGTAGTAATTTCAATGATTAAGATCATGAGTCAGTTGAAGTTAGACCACCATGGAAAACCTGGGAGCACTGTTCAGCCGTTTCGTCCCATTATGGGACTCCTCAGCAGCGCGCACCCACGACCTCGCCCCCTGCGAGATTCGAACCCAGGACCTACTGGTTTCGCGCGCGAGCACTTAACCACTAGACCACTGATTCACCAGGTTCTTGGGTATGAGCCATGCTCAAAGTGTAAGAACTAATGATATTACCCGTCCGCCCAAACGGAAATAGATGTAGTGGGATTCAAACCTGGTCAAGTGTGACTCCGTTTTCATTCATTTCATTATTCGATTTACAATCTCTCTACTTCGTATATGATACCGATATAAGAGATAAGTGTAAATAAGTAAAACTTTCAATAATGTGAGTATTATTATTATTTTTACATTTACTTCATAGTTGTGATTGAGAATTTACTAAGAAATGTACACACAAATAATGAACTGCAAGATGTAGATACTTTAAGTATCGACGATTTAAAACTGAGATTATCTATTGCTCAAAATGAGCTTACTCAATTGCGATTAGATATGGCACGTCAAAGAGAAGATGATGATCGTGAGGCATCAAGACTTCGGGGTCAGTTAGCTGAAGCAAATTCAAATGCAAGAGCTTTACGGATGCAGTTAAATCGCCTTATACCACAAAGCATTTCTTCAAGCAAACTTAATAGTTTGGTGAATACAAACTCATCTGATTCCTCAAGCTGTACAAATTGTCAAAAACTTCAACGTCTCAACGATGTTTTACAACGTAAACAATCTAAAATGAACCCGTTTCCTGATTTAATCGATCATCAAGGGAATATAATAAATCATCAGAATTTTGTTTGTGAGGACAGTGCCTTTAAGAAGAAAGCAATACACAAGCCACACTTTATGAACAGTTTCGTTCAAACAGATTTGTTGAATGATATTCCCGCAACTGATTTTATCCAAAAGGTTGATGTAGCTATTGACCCTATTGGTGGATACGATAACATCTCACCACATCTCCCGGTTGAAAATTGTAAATATGTTCAAACGGAACCATTCATCATAGGTAAATTTTAGACGTTCAATCCTCCTGTTATTTGGTTTTTGTTATTTCATTTTACGGACTATATCTTTTGTTAAATTCTGCAGTCTGCTCAACCTGAAACATCCTGATCACGAATATGAATGTCCCATAATTAGAGAATTTAGTAGGCAATAAGAATTTAGTGATGACAATGATCGTTTGATTTATACATTTTGTTGTGATTTTCCCTGTCGATAACTGCGGTGTATTGGATTTGAGCCTATTTACACGTATATGTCTTCAGATTAAGTTTATACTCCAGTTATCATTTATTTGCATTTATCTTTACAAAGGAAAGAAATCAGAGTACTTGTGGTGTATGCTGCTTACGTCAACAGATATAAGTAGTATGTAACACGTATCAGAAGCCGGTGGATTTATTCGCCAATCGAAATACGACTTATTTAATCTTATCACTGCTAAACCAATGACGTTCGACCGGTATGAGCAGCCTAGCGTCCTTATTGGTCCTTTGTTCTTCTAGCCCGTCCAGTTGATTGCAGAAAGCCAATAACAGCTTCCACTATGTGAATCATTTATTTCGAACATACTTGGTTTATATACCAGCCAAACAGACCGCATCACACTATAAAATAGGAGATAACGTTTATACAAGTTGAAGCTAAAAAGTGGCTGTGAACGTGGGAGGCTGTAATCGATTAACTGAACATAACTTTAGAACAGTAAATCGTTTAATCATAATCTATAGGCCTAAATGAAGCTTGTAATAAGAGGAATATAGATATACATAATCTAGTTACTGAACAGTTATACAATAGGAATATATATATATATATATCCTCACTAGGATATAACAGAATGCCTGTCAGCGTAAGATTGGGAAGATCGAATTGAAGAGAACAAGAATATAAAGAGAGTAATTGTGATAAGAACTGGAATAAAGGAACGGTGAAGTTTGTAAGAGAAAACTGATGGAAGATGTGCGAATGAAATATTTAATGGTGGAGAAGATTTGTAGCTCAGGTGGATGATTTTGATGGAGTTTTGTTCTATGAGCTGGATTGTTTGGTTGTGGAGCTTTCATCGTTCTTCTGAACGACATCATCAGCACAAACTTCAGATAGAAGTGAAGTGTTCGAATTTCTCCATATGCGTTTCACAGCTTGTTCTGTGCACCTCGATGTTGATTGGTTCTTATTGACCTTAAATTTGTCATTGTTTACCTTTTTGTCTTGGTTTTGTCTCCTATTGGTTTGATTCTTGTTCCTATATTTGTGCATAAGTTTCCTGATTGGTTGATAAATCGGATCGATTTCAATATGTTTGTTGATTGCTGATTGACCTGAGTGCCAGGCTTCTAAAATTTCTCTTGTGTTTTTAGAATTTCCTCTGTCCACGATTTCCACATTTTTTTCCAATCGAATGTGTGTCCGCAGTTGTCCACGTGTATTGATATAAGTGAGGAGATATCATGCCGTTTGACTGCTAATTGATGTTCATGTAAGCGCATGTGAAGGGGGCGTCCGCTTTGTCCGATGTAGTGTTTGTCGCAGTTGACACAATTTATTTTGTAGATGATGTTCGATTTATCTTCTTTTGTTATTTCATCCTTTGGTTTGCATAGGATTGACTGTATTGATTTTATCGGTTTGTGTGCCACACCTATCCCGAAGGTTTTTGGCAGTCCTGTTGCGGTTTCTGATATGCCATGTATGTATGGTAGGGTGATCCGTTTGTTGATTTTTGTGCTTGATTTGTGCTCTGATGCTGCATGTAGTTGGTATTTTTTAATGAAGTTGACTGGGTAACCATTCTTTTGAAATACTTCCTTTATGTATTTCTTTTCTTCGTGCTGCCAGAGTGGTGCAGTGTGACCTCGCCCTCTTAAACAAAGTTTGCACGCAGTTAATTTTATGTGCTCTTGGGTTGTTGTTATTGTAGTTTAGAATTTGATCTGTGTGGGTCGGTTTCCTATATACTTGAGTTTCTAGTTTTCCTGTGTCAGTTCTAGTGATTAATACATCCAAGAATGGTAGTTTGTTGTTTGCCTCCTGTTCCATTGTGAACCTGATGTCATCGAAGACGTTGTTGATCAGTTTGTATGTGTTTTCTAGCTCATTCTTTTTGATGATAACGAATGTGTCGTCTACATAGCGAATCCAAATTTTTGGTTTGATCACTGGTAATATCGCGGCTTCCAGTCTTTGCATCACTGCTTCTGCGATCAGTCCTGATATTGGTGTCCCTTTCGTTTGTTCGTAGATTTTGTTGTTGAATTGAAAATATGTTGTTAGGCATATGTCGATGAGTTCTAGTAGACTTTGACTTTGAAGTTTTGTGTACTTTGTGAGATTTGTGTCGTTGGCGAGGAGCAGGGATATAGTTTCTTTTGCTAACCTTGGTTCGATTGAGGTGAATAATGCTGTTACATCGAAGGATATCATTAGTTCGTCGTTGTTGATTTGAATGTCCTTAATTTGGTCCAGGAATTGCGTAGGGGATTTGATGGAGTGGTCGGATGAATCGACTAAGTGTTTCAGTATTCGTGAAATTTCTTTTGATAGATTGTATGTTGGCGTTCCGGGCAGTGCTACAATTGGACATAGTGGAATGCTTGGTTTGTGTATTTTTGGTCTGCCGTAGAATCGGGGGAGTACTGGTCCATTGGATTTCATTCTCCATTGATCTTGTTTTGTTATTTCTCCTGCTTTGACTAGCTTGTTTAATGTCTTTGAGATTCTGTTGTCCAATTTTTTGACAGGATTTATATCTATCCGTTTGTATGTGTTCTTATCTTCAAGTAGTTGTTCGGCTTTTTTGAGGTATTCCTCTTTGTCCATAATTACTGTTGTGCGTCCTTTGTCCGCTGGAACTATGAGCGTACACAGGAACTTCGTAGAAGTCAAATACTTCTTGGGAAATATTGTCCAACATCTCAAAAGCCTGTGACATCATATTCTGTTGGACCTGAAGTACCGTAAGTTCTAATCATATGGTTATTTTATGAAGAAGCACCCTTTGTTATATCTTATGGTTATTTAGATTGTTTTGCGTTCACCATTTAGTCCAGTGAATATACTATACTATACTATTTCTTTGGATGAAATTCTAGAAGATTTCCAGACAAAGTTTGACAAACACAAACTTCTAAGAATAGTTTCCTGTTTAGAAAATGCCGTCTGATAACTTCATTAGTTATGTTTATATTTGACTTGTATTTCAACTTCTCACTTACTACTATGTTGAACTGATAAGTGATGAACGAAAATCCCTTGTTAATCCACTTGAATTAAGGTGTTTTTGGACGTTTCGTACACACCTAGACATTCTCTTCCTCTATGCACCACGTTTGGTAAATTGAAGTAAGAGTTTCATGTGGAATTATCACTGGGTTACTTGTTTAAGGGATTCCTCAAGCTATTAAACCTAGATTATAATCTATTGGTCGATAGTAGTTGATGATTATGAACTTCTTGAATGGCATAAGTTATGATCGACTACACATGTCTCTATTTATGGGACATTCATATGAAAACCATACATTAAATATTTCATTTGCACATCTTCCATCAGTTTTTTCTTACAAACTTCACCGCTCCTTTATTCCAGTTCTTATCACAATTACTCTCTTTATATTCTTGTTCTCTTCAATTCGATCTTCCCAATCTTACGCTGACAGGCATTCTGTTATATCCTAGTGAGGATATAATATATATATATATATTCCTATTGTATAACTGTTCAGTAACTAGATTATGTATATCTATATTCCTCTTATTACAAGCTTCATTTAGGCCTATAGATTATGATTAAACGATTTACTGTTCTAAAGTTATGTTCAGTTAATCGATTACAGCCTCCCACGTTCACAGCCACTTTTTAGCTTCAACTTGTATAAACGTTATTTCCTATTTTATAGTGTGATGCGGTCTGTTTGGCTGGTATATAAACCAAGTATGTTCGAAATAAATGATTCACATAGTGAAAGCTGTTATTGGCTTTCTGCAATCAACTGGACGGGCTAGAAGAACAAAGGACCAATAAGGACGCTAGGCTGCTCATACCGGTCGAACGTCATTGGTTTAGCAGTGATAAGATTAAATAAGTCGTATTTCGATTGGCGAATAAATCCACCGGCTTCTGATACGTGTTACATACTACTTATATCTGTTGACGTAAGCAGCATACACCACAAGTACTCTGATTTCTTTCCTTTGTAAAGATAAATGCAAATAAATGATAACTGGAGTATAAACTTAATCTGAAGACATATACGTGTAAATAGGCTCAAATCCAATACACCGCAGTTATCGACAGGGAAAATCACAACAAAATGTATAAATCAAACGATCATTGTCATCACTAAATTCTTATTGCCTACTAAATTCTCTAATTATGGGACATTCATATTCGTGATCAGGATGTTTCAGGTTGAGCAGACTGCAGAATTTAACAAAAGATATAGTCCGTAAAATGAAATAACAAAAACCAAATAACAGGAGGATTGAACGTCTAAAATTTACCTATGATGAATGGTTCCGTTTGAACATATTTACAATTTTCAACCGGGAGATGTGGTGAGATGTTATCGTATCCACCAATAGGGTCAATAGCTACATCAACCTTTTGGATAAAATCAGTTGCGGGAATATCATTCAACAAATCTGTTTGAACGAAACTGTCCATAAAGTGTGGCTTGTGTATTGCTTTCTTCTTAAAGGCACTGTCCTCACAAACAAAATTCTGATGATTTATTATATTCCCTTGATGATCGATTAAATCAGGAAACGGGTTCATTTTAGATTGTTTACGTTGTAAAACATCGTTGAGACGTTGAAGTTTTTGACAATTTGTACAGCTTGAGGAATCAGATGAGTTTGTATTCACCAAACTATTAAGTTTGCTTGAAGAAATGCTTTGTGGTATAAGGCGATTTAACTGCATCCGTAAAGCTCTTGCATTTGAATTTGCTTCAGCTAACTGACCCCGAAGTCTTGATGCCTCACGATCATCATCTTCTCTTTGACGTGCCATATCTAATCGCAATTGAGTAAGCTCATTTTGAGCAATAGATAATCTCAGTTTTAAATCGTCGATACTTAAAGTATCTACATCTTGCAGTTCATTATTTGTGTGTACATTTCTTAGTAAATTCTCAATCACACCTATGAAGTAAATGTAAAAATAATAATACTCACATTATTGAAAGTTTTACTTATTTACACTTATCTCTTATATCGGTATCATATACGAAGTAGAGAGATTGTAAATCGAATAATGAAATGAATGAAAACGGAGTCACACTTGACCAGGTTTGAATCCCACTACATCTATTTCCGTTTGGGCGGACGGGTAATATCATTAGTTCTTACACTTTGAGCATGGCTCATACCCAAGAACCTGGTGAATCAGTGGTCTAGTGGTTAAGTGCTCGCGCGCGAAACCAGTAGGTCCTGGGTTCGAATCTCGCAGGGGGCGAGGTCGTGGGTGCGCGCTGCTGAGGAGTCCCATAATGGGACGAAACGGCTGTCCAGTGCTCCCAGGTTTTCCATGGTGGTCTAACTTCAACTGACTCATGATCTTAATCATTGAAATTACTACAATCTCCACAAAACTCCTTCTGATTATATCATAATCACCAACAAACAGAATGATATAATGATATCAGAGCAATAAAACGGAAAACACTATTTATCAAACATACGGTAGTATGGAGTGATTAAAATGATTAAATTCTTTGTCTACCAGGAGGTAGCTTATTCATCATTTGATATTGAAAGGATTTTAGCATATTTAATAATTTGTGACTGATAAGATACCTACAGGATCGATTAAACTTACTTCATCAGTATTTCAGACTGTCCTATGGAAATATAAAGCAAATAGTCGAGTACTTAATCAACTATGGTGTCAACGCTCTAGTTGCATAATATGAAAACCTAGGAGAGATGAAGCATAGTTTTGAAATCACATCTAAGGGAGAAATACATCATTCATAAAGATGATAATAATTGCTTTATTTCGTACCATACGTCTGAACTTCCAAGCGAATTCTCAGCTTAATCAGCCAATATATTTGTCCAATTAATTAAGATCAAAAGAGGTGATCGCATTAGCAAATACAAACTGTTGATAGATCATTTATTGAGTACTACAACGCATTGTTTGAAACACAAAATATTATCATCTCGTCGAATTTACATAATAATTGGTTTCTCAGAAATTACATATGGTTGTATTTAAATACATCTGCAACTGTATATCGAAACACAATTTCGTGAGTGTCTATAGTGCATGACTTAAAACCCAATACATGGAGTAACATATAGTTATTCAGTTTCTTTTATTCCTTGCTTTAACCCCTAAGTGTGTCACATCAACGCACTGGGACAGTTCCAGTAAGCAATAATTTCAAAATGCTCAAATAAAAAGAGTTAATAAAACGCGTGACGGAGGAATCATTAGTGTAAAAGAATAAACTTGACAAAATTATTACAAAAACACACAGAAGAATACAAGCTCTCTTATGAGTAAGACGACACAACTTAGATTACTTATCTGTCGGTAAGGAAACACTATAATAAACGTTTCATATCATTAAACTAACGATAAGAGATTAACACAATAAACTAACAATTGAAAAGCAAGAGACAGATAGGCGTGAGATCAAATCAGTCACTAGACACAAACAAATTACGACACATTTAAATCTTATAAAGCACAAACCTCGCATATTTTGGTCCAAAGAACTAGTGTTCACATTTGTTTTACTGAAGAATAATTTCAACTGTTCTAATAAAGCAGTTGCTTTAGCTAATTGATTACGTAAATGAGTAATCTCCATAGTAGTTCTACGTTTTTGTGCTTCATAATTTCTTTGATGATGACGAATAGTATCTACACTGGAATCCAGTTCAGTACCCATATGATCTAATCGTTCTTGTAATTTATCAATACGTGTTTTTTGATTTATACGGTGTTTTCTTAAACGATCCAGTTGACCAACTGCATTCAATAAAGCCTCTTGTAATTCACACTTCGTTGGTTCATCGGATTCAGAAAAACTAGAATGTCTCAGTGTGCGATTGAGAACATTCCTTGGATTAACCAGTCCATATTTTAATAACTAAAAATGAAATAGTCAGAAATGATTTATAAACTCAATGAATCAAAATATTTTATGAATAAAATGACAAATGTATACATAACGATTAAACATAAATTTGTCACCAATACGATGCATCCCATACTCAGGTGACATGAAGAATTTCGTAAGGGTGAACAGCGAATGACTCTGAATACATAACAACTTCTGGCAGTAGAGCTCTCTTGCATTAAACACTAGTTTTAGGAGCCAAAATTAAAGACATTAAACTAATGACTATCACTTCTCATCAGGAATAAACACATTGCTTCATAATTCATTCCACGTGTTTCTGATCTCTGATGCATCTCTAATCCCAACCACTCGTCGTATTATTTTAAATCGAGGATTATTGTACTACCTCATCTTCACGTTCTAAGGACGTCCGATTCAGATACAGATACACACGCTTCTTAGTCTGCAACGTGAGTCACATAATTAGGGGAGGCTAGGAAGTTGTAAATGCAAAACCGAATAGTGTACGCGAACCATGGATAGACATACATTTTCAAATTATCTGAGACATCTTGTTCACGGGATAACACGAGAGACTGAATAACTTTTAAGTGACTATGTGTTGATGTTACATTAGAACATATGTCTAAAACACTAGGATGTGGATTAAGTTGGGATAAAGTTGACAAAGTAACAGAAACTGGGTCGCCACACTGGTTCAAATTATTTAATAATTGTACTAGTTGAAAATGATCTGTTGAAAGACAATTACATAACAGAGAAACAATTCGATTGCAAGCAGCTAATTGTAATTCTACATTTCCGATTGAAGTCAAGTCACCATTATTCATAGCCTCCAATTCAGACTCAAATGGCTGGCATAAACAAACAGTCAAATAGTAATGATAACAAAATAAAGTTTTCTCAAAAATAAAAGCTACAATCGTCAAATATTATTACGATTCAATCATATTATAAATTTAAAAAATAATCCACGCTGCACAATAGAACAGTATGATAAATGGATCGCACAAATCAAAACAAAAATCACCTGGTGCAACAGACAAAAAATAATAGAGATAAAAAATGAAACGGTTGCTTCTTCGCTGAAATTCAGGGCTTCAATATGCGTAAGTATTGGTGAGAATAAAAATTCTCTATCTAGTTATTCATTTTACATGTTAACTGTATACCCAAACATTTACCAATTGCTCTCAACTTTTACATTAGACATGAAAATTAAATAAATCTAGTACAATAAATATTTGCTTAGCTCAACATTGTGACCGTTACCGCAATATCATCACATCAAGATCTTCAACCTACGGAATATCATAATATCGATTATATCATCTTGATTAAATTGAACACTATGGAAATGTTATAATTCTCTCTTATCACGACCCAGCTATTCCTATTGCTTAGTAATCTTGGACACCAATTCACCTATTCCTGTAGCCTTCTCACTTAACTTGCCGGATGTCACCCTTAAAAAGAAATCGTTCAAAAGACTTACAAATTAGGTATGGATGGCACAAATTTCAATAAACAAGGTATTGGGTTTTCACATATTCAGCTAAAGTTTCAAGTGTTCCAATTAAATTAGTGAAATCAAAAAGAACCAGCGCATAAACAAAGAGGTTCTTACCGGCACAGTAAATCAACACCGAATGTGGTTAGTACTAGTTAATTACCAAAGCAAATTACTCCGTACACTGCAAACAACTCGATGTGCTCTGTGGTAGGAAATTACGGATTTCACAAACAGCATCCACACACTTGTACAATGAATTCATTGAGAAGCATCACAATCCGATATCAAACAATCGGGTGAAGTCAACACGAGTTGAAACTAAGATGAACAACAAAGGGGGCACAATAATAAAAGTAGTAACGATAGTGTGAATACAATTGAGAAAAACAATGACAGGGTGTTCAGCAAGAAATCCTGAAAATCAAGATCTAATGAGAAATAACGAATGAATCCGTCCGTACCATTATCAGTTGTGATATACAACGTCCCAACTTGACGTTGCAAAATCAGATGATACATGACTCGACTAGTAGCTACGGATCCTTGATTCTGATTTTGTGTGTACTCACTGATTCATCTGGAACATACATGCTAAAAGTCAGTCAGCGACCAAGTTACGCTCACACATTAACTTATATATAAATACGCGTATTCATTCACAACTGGATTTCCAATAACAAACAGCTGACCCTACTGTAAGACCGACATCTGCGCCAATTTATTTTTGTCACAGTGACTAATGTGTTAAGCGGCGACTATTGCTGAGACCGGTAGAGTAATGATAAACACCAGTAAAAAAAACCAGAACACCCTAATAATAGTTCGGTACATACCTTCTCTGAATTGCCAGAATAACCAATACCAGTATGACAAGTGTCTTCGCATTTGCTGTTCCACTGATTGTGATTGAAATCGTCACCGAAAAATACGTCAGATGAAGAGCACATTGTCACTGTGTCAAAACCCCGAGAGAGCGGCCTTAGTTACGAGCCCGAAACAACCGCGCTGGAAATGCCAGTGCCCAATGTATTTAGTAAAAACAAATGTTTTGAGACATATGCTGTCTTTGTGCTTTCGAAACGACGATTTATCATCAGTGTACGCGGGACTAATTTTTCGGAATGGGCTGCTAACTTTTTGAACATTGCACACTGTTTAAAAAGGGCAGTGGTATTTTTCCTCTGAGTATATTTTATAGTATTGACCGCTTAATCGGACATCGAGACTACTGTTGTTGCTTTGACTGAATTTATTTCAGTTAAAGTAAGAAAATAGGTTAGTGCTATTGTTTTCCTCGTTGTGTATATCTTTGTATGTTGTTTGTATCCAAAGGTGTTAAGGTCCTTTCGTAACTACTGAAGTCGGGTGTTTTATTGTTGTTACGTACAGTAATATGCAAACCTCTGTTTTTGTTTGTGTTCAGTGTCCATCACCTGTCAAGCCTTAAAAAAGACACTTTTTCTAGAGATCAGTTCTCGCTGTTGTTCTTCACACCGGCTGCATATAGAAGGGAGTCGCAGATGCATGCGCACTTCAGGCAGACTTAAATATTGTGATTAGCTCGTCTAAGGAGTGGCTGATGCCTATCCACTTTTCTGGTCATAGATCATTTTTATCTCTCAGTACTATTGTATCCAGTACCTTTTTAAAAAAAAAGACCTCCGTTTGATGACTGGACAGTGCAACAGAAGCCATTGCCAACGTCCGGGCTGTCGATACCCCGTTGAAAACGGCATGCAGTGCGATGAGTGCAAAGGCTGGTACAACGAGTTGTGAGGCTTCGACAGAGAATGATGCCGAAACCACTCTGGGTGAGGCACGAAGCCATCTAGATAGGCTCCGGATCCGTTACACTGATGCTCAAAGCTTGCTCAATAAGCGATCGGAACTAGGTGTACAGATTGACTCTACAATGCCAGACATAATCGCAGTCACAGAAACTCGGCTGACGCAGTCTATGGATAGTATGGAACTTGATTTCGAAGATGTTACGTTAGTAGGTGCCAACAGAATACAAAAGCGTAAAGATGGGAGAGTCGCTCTATTCATTAGGAATGCCATCCCATTTGCCATTATCGACAGTGTATCCCATGAGAGTGGGACGTGTGAATTAAGTAGTTGCCGTTTGAAATGCAAGGGACAAGAGCTGCTGATTGGTTTGATCTATCGCAGTCCGAGCTGTGAGGTAAATGAGGTCCTGCTAAGCAGTCTCAATACTTGGTCACAAAGTGGTCGATGTCTCAACCCAAGTATCTTATGACTACGGAGAGTAAGACCTTATGTAGAAAACACTGGGACTTACCAACATTTCCGCTTCTCAAACCTAGTGTGAAACCAAACTCCCTCAATACAACCAGGTCCCTCGACACATTAGATAGTCTTTTCATCTCTTCTTTTCCTTCTACACATATTTCATTTCTAAACATCTAACATCTATAACTATAAACACAAAAATAATTTATCCTACGTTACACTTAAACAAATTAACTCAGCTTCGTTTTATCATCACCACATCTATATAACACACAGAAATTTACATCTTTTATTATCCTTCTCACTTGATTGTGACTTCCATAGCATCATTCTAAATTATTATTGCACAAATGTTTATACTAATATCCGGTTTTACTCTGTATTCTACTACTACTACTACTACTTCTACTACTACTACTACTACTAATACCACTACTACATAAATCTACATTTATTCATCCAAGTGCACACAATTATTATCATGGTGGAACCCTTTCACTAGGTGATCCTTCCTAACTATGACTGCACAAACGCTTATTCTGACGTCATGTCTTGCTGCAATAATAAGTTACTTCTCTTATTTTTATTCTATTTTTGTCACTAATCTCGCGATGCATACATAGTCGTTTATCATAATTCTGTGTTCGTTAACACGCTCATTGAACTGTAACAGCTTAGGTTGGTTGTCAAGAGTTAATCTCAAGCAACTAAGCATATATCGAAACAGCATAGTTCAGATATTTATTCACTTTATTTTGTTTAGGCGTTATATTTCTATCTATCTTATATTGCTTGTTGAGAGGTTTTGTTTGTCTGAGTAAGGAATCCCACGCTCCACTGTGACTGCGCGAAGATCAAAATAAAGACCTATTTTCCTACGAGTCTGGTTTCTTCTATTATTAACGCGAGGGTTAGCATATATATATACCATAAATAAATATATATATATATATATATATATATATATATATATATATATATATATATATATATAGTTTTTTTTATTATCTTAAGGTATTCGTGCTGTAGTAACCATTCTTGGTGCTAAGTTTATTGCTATATTGTTCATATACTTCATGTCGGACTCAATACAAACCCGAAACCTGGAGGATTTGTCACCAGTTGCGATAGACACTGTTATGACTACGAAATCCCGACTTCCAGAATTTGATCGTAGTGATCCTGAGTTGTGGTTTGCTCAACTAGAGCATTGTTTCACGAGACATAATATCAAATCCGA